TAGTAGATGTATATATATATATGTATACACACAAAGCACGTGCTACGTATATGTACATATAAATACATCTAACTTACCAGCTGACATTCGTTCGTTCATTCACTCGTTCATCCATTCATAAAAGCTACGTAACGTAACGCGCATGCGCCAGCCTATTCGTTATCAGAATTCAATGATACGTTTATCGATAATTTCGCGGAAATTATCAGGGGGTGTTATTCATTGAATTTTACGATCATTTACCAAGAAGAATTAAAATATTCATAAAATTGTATGATGTCGAAATATTACACATTAATAATAATATAGAAATATTATATTTAATGATTATTTAATTGAATAATGTTATATTTAATTAATAAGAGATTAATAAACAGAAATATTATATGGACCGTTTATTATGAAAATGGTGTAAAGTTTATTATTTAAAGAATAATTGAGAAAAAAATACGTAATTTTAATGCTTTATTTAAAATTAATGAAAATTATGTTTTTTCAAATTTACTCAATTGTTTTTTAAAATAAACTTTACGCCATTTTAATAATATATGTATATATAAGCGATCTAATTAAATAATATTATAATATTTTCATAATATATTTCTACTGCACAAAAATACTTGTCCCTCATTTTATATATAAATAAAAATTTCTCTCTCTTTCATAGAAACATCATAGTATATTAAATTCTTGAAGATAAATCGTTAAAATGGAGTCATAGTTTCTACGTAAACGTATATATATAAACATGATATCGTGTAATCTATAAAACAATTATTCCAGTTACCTCTTCGTGTTTAAATATCATATACATAATACATATATATATATTAAGTGTACGATAAATTTTGCCCTCACGTGTTACTAATGTCATAATCGATCCGCGTGAATTATATTAAAAAAGTCTACGATGTGCGCGATCATTCTAGCGTCAAACTTTAACTACTATACCGTACTAAAGACTTTAATTAAACACTTAGTCGTTCTTAATTTAGTTTTTAAAAGTAAACAATCGACTATATACGATCTGAAAAACGTTTCTTATCAAATTTGTATCCGGAATTGTAATATCAGTTCTTTTTTATTTATATATTTTTTAAATAAAGGTACCATTTTTGCATATATTCTTCTTCCTCGAAGATAACAAAAATATTTTTTTTTTAAATGTATAATAATTCAATGACAAAAAGAAATGATTTATGCATAAGATAGGAGATCTTATGTAAAATTTTAAATTGACAAAGTAAAAGAATATATTATATGTATATTTAAAAATAAAATAAAAAGGAGAAAACTAATTTTTAAGCTGAATAAAAAATATTCTCATCCCGTTCTTATTTAAAACCATTTTTATAACATGACATTACAAACGTATACAAAATATCCCTGTTAGAATTAATGTATACATTGTTTGTAAAAATATTATCCATATGAAGATTATAAAATATTATAATAATATTTTAGCGTAAGTAATTAATATTCATTATTTTCAATTGTCACAGACCGATGACATATTATTATTTGTTTATCGGTTGCGTTTCTCTTTCAAGCCATTCACGCGCTTGAGCATTTTCAGGACCGTCGAGGAAGGGACATAATGTTTTAAAACATTTAGCGTGATAATCGTTTAAATACTTGATCTGTAATCAAAATCATTCATTTTAATAATTTAATACTTCATTAATTAAAGATATATATATTTAATAGAATCATTTTTAATTCATAAAAACGAGAGTTAACATACCTCTTCATCCGTTAATAAAGAAACGTCGAGTAAACTGGTTTGAATTGGAACAAGCGTTACAGTTTCAAAAGTAAGAAATCCATTATCATCAAATTTATATTTAGTTTCCGCTTTAACAATTAGTTCTATGTTCTCTAATCTAATACCAAATTCATCATTTTTGTAATATCCTGGTTCTAAAGAGAAATCGTCGTATATTATATATATATATATAATTAATATATACATACAAATGTCATTGTAATAAATAATATAATCATTTTACCATTGGATAAAAACATTCCTGGGTGTAAGCCAGGATCATCGGGATATGGTTTCCAAGATATACCAATTGGTTGTTCGTGAACATTTAAATAGGATCCTATTCCATGTCCTGTACCGTGTAAATAATTAAGTCTGCAATTGTTTATTTAATAAAAATCTACTTCGAACATATTCCAAAATAAAAAAAGATATTCCTATAAATTTATATACCCGACACTCCATAAACTTTCGCGTGCTAATGTATCCAAATAATTTCCTTTTGTTTTAAAAGGAAATATCGTAGATGACAAACGACATTGCCCTTTAAATACTCTGGTGAAGCATTCGCGCTGATAATTGGTAGGTTCACCGAAATGCAAAGTTCTTGTGACATCTGTGGTTCCATCTTTGTATTGAGCTCCTGAATCACACAGATACAATTCTTTGTCTGTAATTGGAACATCTGTTTCTGGAGATGGAGTGTAATGAATTATGGCACCGTGTGGACCCACAGATGAAATCGTAGAAAAACTTAAACCAACGTAGTGTTCTTGTTCCCTTGAAAAAGTAACATGAGATCGTAGTATAAGTATATAGCAAGATGTGCAACAAACAAAAATAAATATATGATATTAATAATACTCACGATCTAAATTTTTCAAGTTGTTCCGCACCAGAAATTTCTGTAACAAGTTCTTTTTTATTTTTTATTTTATCTTCCAACCAAGCAAAATATTTGACAAGTGCAACCGCGTCGCGTCTATGGGCAGCTTTCATTCCTTCTATTTCTATGGAGTTTTTAATTGCCTTAGCTACACACACAGGAGAAATAGCAATATGCTTTTTTAATTCTCCACAATCGGAATGAATGGCATAGCTTGAGCCATTACTTATCCATACTAATTTATTCTTATTAAAAGAAGCTTCGCATTTAATAAAGTCATGTATATCACTGTACGGATGGTAATTGGGTTTAATTCCTTCATTAGTCATTTGTTGTATTGCTTCTTCTGTAAGACTACGAACATCCACAAAAAAATGTAATTCGTCCTTAGTAAGAACAACAAATGCAAAGAATACGGGATTATAAGGAATGTCGGAACCTCTTAAATTTAAAAGGTACGCAACCTCATCTAGAGCAGTAATAATAAGCATTTTCACGCCGATAGATTCCATTATTTTTCGATACAGTTTTACTTTCTCGCCTGCGCTCTCACCAGAAAATTCCAATTTTTGCGGTATGATCTTGTTTGCTGCAGGTAATGGTTTCTCTTTACCCCATACTTTATCTATCAAATTTTCTTCTATTGGAAATAAAGTATGTCCTCCGGCAACAAGAGTAGTTTGTAATGTAATCCACTTATTATAACTTAATAAATTGGGGTCAGCGCCAATAACAGATTTAGGTGGTAAATTAGAAACCAACCAAGACTGTATCGAAGGTGTCTCTAATAAACCATCTTTCATAAGAGTCCATTCTTCCGGTGGATCAAATTGCGACAAAGCTTGGGTAAAATATCTTCCATCTGTCCAAAGTAATGCTTTGTTTTGAGTAATCACTGCTGTACCAAGAGAACCAGTAAACCCGCTTATAAATGTAAGCCTTTGGTCATACTTTCTTAAATATTCAGATTGATGAGCATCTTCCGAAGTTACAACGTAAGCTTGAATTTCCACTGTTTTGTTAGCATTTATTTGAACAGCTTTCATTAATTCTCGAAGCTTTGTTAATTTTACGTGACCACTTTGTGCCATATTGTAGTATCTGTAATAAAAAAGAAAATAGAAAAATCCAAATTCATATATAAATATATATGTTACGCAAATGGAAACTCTAAACAATAATCTTGTACTTTATATAACTAGTAAATCTTCTGTACTACTTTACCTATGTTTTAATATTCTTTTGTATTATATTATTGCTTAAAATAAACAACTTTTTCAACAATATCACAAATAATCAAATTAACTTGTACCGTGATCACAATCTTTTAAAAATGTTAAAAGATATTCAAGACAAGAGAGAATCTTTATCAGATAATGTATTTATCAACATTTAACTGATAACTCTAAATATAACTTCGAATATTAAACTAATATATTGATTTGTACTCATTATTGTATTGAACACTATAAAACGTGAAACATATTTGTGTAGAAAAATTTGCATTTAAGATTAATTACTCTAAATACCGTATCACGCTTATTTACATTTCACTTTACACATTTAAAGAAATTAAAAATATTACTATACTACATATTAAAAGAAAACACCTCTTTGAAACTAATTTTACGTGACTAACAAGAGATGTGAGTATGCTTTTTTATTTTATACTATTGGTACACTTATACAAAATTAGTAAGGTTAGAAACCATAGGTAAATAACTAACTCTGAAGTTGGCAACGATTGTAATACATGGGTTGGTTGAAAAGTTTTGAGCCTTGCTAAGAAATCACTTTTATTCTTTTTAAATAAATATTAATGTGACCGAAAAAAACAAATTATGTTTAAAATTTTAGGTTGAAAACATTTCAACTAATTCACGTATAATACACAAATGTTTGGATAACATTGGTGAAGCTAGAAAATATATGTGGCTACTAACTCCAAAGTTGGCAACGTTTATATATTATAGCAGCAACTTAATTTTTATCTGCAATCTCGTCATATATGTTAAATATATTTGACATTGAAAGCCGGTTTGATTTTTATCAAATTTTGTAAAGTATTATGTGGTATATCAAATTTTATGAAGTATTATATAGACAATAATTAAATATAAACAAGCAACAACAGTCATATTGAAATAATATCAAATATCAGATAGTATTATTGCATCATTGCATCGCTACAATTCTATTTGTTATAAATTTTATTAAAATAAATTATAATATTTATTAAAAAAAGATAATATAAAAATTGTATTTATAAATTATATAACACTTAAGTACTTTAAAAAAAGTAACAATAGTGTATGAAATAAAAAACAATTTAAGTTATAATTACATTTAAACACATTTATAAGATATAACATTAGAAAATAATATAAGATTATAATAATATTAAATCAAATAGCATGTTAAACGTAACACGATATTGCTCCAAGTCTTTAACAAACAATAGTTTAACAAAATGTTTACCACCTTGGAGAAATTTGTTAACGAACAACAAGCCAAGAATAAACGTATTCCAAAATGTTTTTGCACCAATGGAAAGAAATACATTTTTATTACAAAAGGTATTTCATTTGTATTAATTAATAATATTGTACAAATATAAAATTCATATTATACAGACTAAACATTTTTAATCATTTCTAGGAATCACTTAGACGGTCTGGTACAATAGCAATAAACTATTCATCGAAAGCAAATAAAAATGCAGATAAAATAGTTGGTTCTTGGTTACTTGTTTGCGGCGGAATGGTTTTTGTAGCTGTCGCTTTAGGTACATTAATTTATTTTGTATTCTACAATCAAGTCCATCGACTTATTCAAATCATTATCGATATAACATATGGAAAGTAAAATATCGACACAATAGTAAACAATAGTTCAATTGTAAATTAATATTATTTGTAATTCTAATATAATTTTTTGTATTAAATAAAATGTATTCACATACAAGTATAAATAAATATTTCCTATGACCGATTTACTTGTTTGTTCTTTTTTATATTTATAGGTGGTATCACCAGGCTTACTGAATCAGGTTTATCAATGGTTACTTGGAAATTACTTGGAGAAAAAATGCCAACTAATGAAGAACAGTGGCGTACTGAATTTGAACGTTATAAACAATTTCCTGAATATAAAATGTAAGACGATAAAAACTATTTTCTATTACACGTTAGCATATCTTATATATCTTATATATCTTATATATTTCCCATTTGGACGGTAATATATATAAGCATTTCTCTAAGTATAATTATTTTATATAGAACTAATAAGGATATGACGTTGGACGAATTTAAGAGAATTTGGTGGATGGAATATTTCCATAGAACGTGGGGTCGATTAATCGGTGGTATATTTTTAATACCAGCAACTTACTTTTGGTTTTCTGGTATGCTTAAATCAGAAATGAAAATACGTGTTGCGGTATTAGGATCATTGATTGGTTTACAAGGATTAATGGGATGGTATATGGTAAAATCTGGTTTGGAAGATCGTTTTAATGAACCTTCGGATGTACCAAGAGTGTCACAGTATCGTCTTGCTGCTCATTTAGGATTAGCATTCTTAATATATTCAGGATTTTTATACAACGCTCTGAGCTATTTAATACCAGCAAAAAAAATTGGAAATGGCAGCCTTAGTATCGAAAATTTTAATACTGCTGTAAAAAAATTACAACCGTTCAGATATTTAGTTCATTCGACGAAAGGAATGATATTTTTGACTGCTATTTCTGGTGCGTTCGTAGCGGGTATGGACGCTGGACTTATTTACAATACTTTTCCCAAAATGGGTGGCAAATGGATACCTGATGATTTGTTTGCTATACCGGAGACATTAAAAAATTTTACCGAAAATCCAACCACTGCACAATTTCAACATCGATATCTGGTAAGTTTGTAAGATATAGTATAACGTGTACGCGATGTTATATTATATATGATATTATATATATATATATATATTAATATTTTATTTTTTACAGGGTATATTATCTTTTACATTAGTAAATATTATAGCTATATTATCTCGAAAACATAAACTTCCTGGTTATGGGAAAACAGCTGTAAATACTGTATTGGGTGCAGGCTATTTACAAGTATCTTTAGGCCTTTTAACTTTATTGTATTATGTGCCAGTGCCACTTGCTGCGGCTCATCAGTGCGGTAGTCTTATTCTTTTAAGTAGTATACTCTGGCTCTGCCACGAGTTAAAATATGTCAAATATGTAAAAAAGTTGGTCAAGTAAAATTGTTTAAAGTCTTGTTATACCTATACTACGATATTTTAAATAAAATAAAAAAGTATATTGATGTATATCTCGTACAGTTTATACTACTCTTCCTTGATATTAAAGAATATGATTCCTTCCTTGATATTAAGAATATTAAATGTCTATTCTTAAATAAGTGTATTAGTAAATCAATTTGAAGGAATTTTATAAACAAAACATGATGATGATGATGGATGATGACGTAATACAAACTTGTAATCAATTAAGCAATCAATGAGTTCAGACTATTATGTTGTCAGTTGTTTCAGGATATCTGTTACTAAAAATGTGTAAAATTTATATTGGTTGTTTCTTCTGCTATTTTTGTAATTCACTACACAACAATTATTTTAACCTATTTTAAAAATATTAATAACTATATCCAAGATAAACACAAAATGTATGCAAAGTGTACTGTATTTGACACATGCGTCCATGAAATGTTGCACATTTTTACCAGAGTATGCGCTTCGATCGTTCCTATATTGAGACGTCATAAATTATCAAAAATGCTGTGATCTAATTGGTTGTCTAAATCGTTAAGTCACCCTAATGTTTTTCTAAGAAAGCTTTAATGTAAATATTGTTTTGTAGACAGTGTTGTATAAAATAATGTACATACTTTAACGCTGGTACACTTAAAATTCAATAAATTTCTTACACATCAGAAATTTTTCATCTATCATGCATCTGCCTTTATTATTATATTAATTATAACGATATTTATTCCTAAGGTTGCTTAATTTTATCTATTTAATATTTTATTCAAGAATATGAATGTATATCTCTTCCCCTATTTTATCCTATCATGGAATTATGAGACTTATTACCTTTCACAATTTCAAATATGCAAAGTTCTGTAAAGACAACAAAATAAATTAAAATAATATTTTAACGATATTCATATATATATATTTAATCTGTTTATTAATATTAATTAATAATTATTTCATTATTACATACTTCCAATTTGTTATTTATAATTTGATGAAAGATTCAAAATTGTTTCGCGCTCGCAGACGAAACTTCGTGAGGTAGACTTCCGGAATCGTATTGCTCGAATGGCGGACACCGTGGTTGTCGTTTCTGTCAAGTACAATAGTTTTGATTCTGAAAACTCATGTAATATTAGCGTATTTGATGTATTGGAGTGGAAAAAAGCGGGGTTTCGTGAAAAATCGAAATATTTTACTTTTACTCGGTGACTATTTTAATGATCGATAAAACGGTTGTAAGCACCGGTATACGTAAAAGTTTTCGTTCTGTCATACAAACAAGATAATAATCACCATTTCTAGCGGGAGGCATAAAAGAGAAGTGGAATTTGAAATATTATTCAGAAAGTATTACGAACATCAAAAGAACCTATAAACTATGCGAATCAGATGATTCAAGGGACTTTACAGAAAAAGGAAATATCACAGATTTGAGTTAGTTCCCAATTTATGTCTTTTTGACGCATCGAACTTCATACACGCGATTCTTCTTTTGTTTAATTTGCTTCATTTTTGGACTCACAGATAGATATCATTAATGTATTTTTCATCTCATGAACATCTTCTATATGAATTTTCTATCTAATTGTGTATTATGTGATAGAATTACAGAATATTGTATACTTCATTTTATTTATTTATATCTAATAAATGTCGAGACAGACTTCATAATATTTTGAGAGATATTTTAATGTATTCTGCCTTTCAAAATATTATATTTTCTGCCTCATTTATAAATAAAATATTTATTAGTGCTATATGTAGCTCTCTCTCTAATAAATAAAATAATATTTTTTTCTACTTTTTTTCTTTTTCGTTCTTTACTCTATCACAACGGATTTCATTCCATTCTAGTAAATCAAATGTAATACAATATCTATCTTTACAAAGTGAATACGAAATATATTAAATGCAATGCATTACAGATATAGTTATGGAGGATAGTATGAGTGTCAAGTCTATGGAATCAGTGGCAACCAGCGATGAATATGAATTTGTGAGTGACAAAGGTACTACCAAGCAACAGCAAAACTTACTTGAAGCACCGATGTTAAAAATTGCTAATAACGGAAATTTAGAAGATCTACAAAATAATCTTCGTGAGGTATATAAACCGAATTAGTGGAGAAAATTATGAGTTGTAATTGTTTAATTACTCATTGAAATGTTTAAAGGTATTAACGGAAGATTCAAAAATGGAGGGTAGAGACTACAAATTAACAAATCCACAACAAAAAGCTAAAAAAATAGGGCATAGCCAATTTTATGATGTTAGTTCTTGTATAAATGGCACAGAAAAACAAGATGTAATGAAACCTGATGATTTCATAGAAGAGGGTAGGTACTATTTGTTTTTATTTAAGAATATTCGACGGGTTTGTTATAAAAGAAAATTTACAAATTGTAAAAGGAAGATTTGTATATTTTAGAATTAAACACATTGTCACATGTTCAACAAGAATGCACAATTTTCAATGGTGTTACATATTTGGGAGCTGCAGCAATAAATGCACCAAAATCAGAATGTGAAATACAGCGTAATATGAATATTTTAAATGCTGAACAATCTCTTAATCTGGGTATAAAAATTTCTGTCTCTGTACCAAGTAGTTCCCAAGGTTCTGTTGTGTAAGTAGTATAGTAATTCAATATACAAGATAAGGTTTAAATTGAAGGTTTATAAAATTACATAATAAAACGTTATAGAATAAATGTTATGATTAATAAAATAACATCTAATTTTTTAAAATAGCATTTCATTTTTATTTTTTTTATAGTTTATATGATGCTGCCACTCAGCAACCAATTGCCCATTATGAAGTACAACGAATTCTATTTTATGCACGTGGAGAAAGTACTGGATTGTGTGCTGCATGTTTTGCTTTTACATGGTCTCATGGAGATACTTTGGAATCTGCTATTTATCAATGTCATGTTTTTCGATGTAATATACCAGAAGCAGTAAGTATTCTATTATTTTTTATTTTTCTTTATATGCATTATTAATCAATTATTCTCATACTTGTAGGTTGGGCAAGTGTCAGCTTGTTTCTCTAAAGCCTTCCATAGAATACCAAGATCAATGACAAATTCTTTAACAGGAAGTGACTTTAGCAATTATAATGCAGGCGGTGAAAAAGTTAATTCTCGTGTATTTATTTTTGAAGTTACCATGGAAGTTAAGGAAGAAGATGGAAAAGGTGCGTTTAGTACTGTTCCTAAGGACAGAAATTGTTTCAAATTTCGGAGTAATATAGCAAAGCAAGTTTGTTTGAGTATTCAACAAGTTTCCAGTAAAGAAGGAGGTGAAGTTGAAAGATGTTTTGGTGTTCTTGTTAGCCCAGGACGTAATGTGAAACATAGTGACATGCGATTACTTGAAATGGTATGGAATATTAATTTGACATGAAATCTCTTTCTCTCCATATATATATATATATATATTATATGTATATCATATTTATAAAAATTATTGCTGTTACAGCAAGTAAGCACTGGACCAATCGTCCAGGATCGATGTTACAATATATGTGGCCAATGGGATCCGGCTGATCCAGCTTTGGAAACTCTTAACATAGAGACACCTAGAGAGGGCAAAATATTCATGACAGTAGCGGTTGATTTAGTTATTAGAGGTATCAGGGAACCTGTCAGATTCGTAATCGAAACTCCTGTTAAAGTATTTCCACAAAACGAGAGATTTTGGTACTTTAATAAAAGAAATTTATTACAACAATTTTATCTTAACTCTAAAGAGGTAAAAGACTTTTTAAATGCAAGAATAATCTTATTATTATATAAATGACTAACATTGTATAGTTTCATAAAGTTGACTTTTTTTACTACAGATAATATCTGGCGATGGAAGTGAAGTTCATTACGAGGTGCAAAGTATAGAAACATCAGGAGAATTAGATAGAAATAGATTAAATCTTGCTCTTAATTTAGCTTCTTTAATTAGATCGTCTTCTTTGACTAGCATAGACACTTTAACTCCTAAAGAGGAAATAGATTCAGGTTTTTAATAATATCTTTTAGTATATATTATTATACAATTTTAAAAAAGAGGGAGAGAGAGAAAATCAATAACATATTTTCATTTATTCATATACAGATGGAGATGAGCCAATGTTAAGTGGAACAGGAGAAGTATCGAAAGATTGTTCTGCGGGTGAATTGGCCAGCTGGGGAGAAGTTCTAGAAAGTTGGCAAATTAACGAGCAACGTCCGAAACTTTTAATAAAACTCACAAAACAAGGAATTCCTGAAGCATTACGTGGTGAAGTATGGCAACGCTTAAGTAATTGTGACAATTCCCAGGAAATGATGGATAAGTATAGAACACTGATTACTAAGGTTAATATATTCGATTATTTTTATAGAATATCTTAACAACTATTAAAATTCTATCTTAACCAGTAATATTTATACTCATACAATCCCATACATCCATTACTATTATTCACATTAGCTATCTATTGTTACTTCTTTTTTAATCTCATACTTTACGAACTCCTTTATCACTGTGAAACAATTTTTTTTTGTATACATAATTTCCTGTAGCCTATCTTTACGATTGTTTTCTCTCTTTTCAGTTCTCTGGGCTTTTTATTAAGAACGCTTTGTACCCTTTTTTCTTTATATGTTAAAGCGTGATCTACGTATATACTTTGAGCCTAATTTATGCTTCCTCCCCATTACCCTATTGTACTTTTATATATAATAAGGATGTCCTGTAACTGATAATATACGCGAGCAGGGGATGATTGAAAAAATGTTATTTTTTACATTTTCGATTTACTTAGTTTTTTATACAGAAGCACTCCTGTTCCCTTATATCACCAGTTATAGGGCCCTCTGTATAATATAAAGTTATAATATTGCTATAGTAATATTTATGAAATATATTAATAGGAAAGTAGCTGTGAAAGTGTTATATTAAGGGATATCAACAGAACATTTCCCGCACATGATTTTTTCAAAGAAACTGGTGGTTTAGGCCAAGATTCTTTATACAGAATAAGTAAAGCGTATGCAGTATATGATGAAGAAGTTGGATATTGTCAGGGTTTAAGTTTTTTAGTTGCTAGTTTATTGTTACATGTAAGTAATTAATAGAAGTTTTTTAAACATCTTACATATTTTATTCATATATTATTGTATTGTTGATTCATTTTAATTTTTAGTATTTACATCTGATCTGTTTTTTGTAGATGCCAGAAGAACAAGCGTTTTGTGTTCTAGTGAAATTAATGTACGATTATGGTTTACGAGATTTATACAAAGACAGATTTGATAATCTTCATATGAGGTTTTATCAATTGAATCGCTTAATAGAGGTTAGTCAAATCATTTTTAGATTGAAGACTGTGATATGATTATATCTTCCATATTTATAATTTATAAATATTATTTTCTTCAGGATCAACTTCCTGAACTTTACAAACATTTCTGCGATCGTGGTGTTGAAACACATATGTTCGCAGCACAATGGTTTTTGACTTTATTTACTGCTAGATTTCCATTATATCTTGTGTTTCACATCCTAGACGTTTTCCTTTTACAAGGACTTGACACTCTCTTCCAGGTGGCTCTTGCATTGTTAATGGTAAGTTTCATTTACACAAATATTTAGGTCGTATGATCTAATTATTACAAATAACAAATCAACGATTTTCCTTCTGCCATTTTTAGTTATGCAAAAAAGAGCTATTACAATTGGATTTTGAAAGTATTTTAAAGTACTTTAGAGTCCATTTGCCTAAGCGTTGCAGAAATGAAGAAATATCGCGTTATGTAATGAAACTGGCCTGTTCCGTTACATTGAAGAAATTGAAGAAATATGAAGCAGAATTCTTGACATTAAAAGGTAATTTTATATTTTATGTTTGAACGAATCAAGTATGTATATGGAACATACAAAAATTTATATAATCCTTTGGAGTAAACATATATATTTTATATGCCACTTCAAAGTTATTATTTGTCGAAGTGTATGTCCATTCTCTAGAAGGTATAACAATTTGTTTATTAAAAAGATTTGACGTATACGATTTCTAAAATGTAGTACTTAAATTTTAAGACAATTTACCAAAGGACTAGTCAGATTTAATTTGTGACATGATAAATATTAATCAATGATCTTTAACAAAAAATATTCATAATATAAATTTAGTGTTATACCTGTATTTTTTAAACATAGCACGTAATATATAGCACATAAACATGTCATATTATAATCGATGTTATTGAAATTCTACTATCGTGCGTGTGTGTGCGTTGTGTTTGTTTGTGTTTGTACGCGCAAACGCGATTATGCGTCCGTGTAGGTGTGGGTGGGTGTGTGTGGTTGGTCGTACATTATACATGTTGATGTGCGCAAATGCACGTGGCACAAGCTTCATGTTATGTACCAAGGTAAAAATTGTGATTCTAGTCACGTAATAATGTATTTTTTGAATGGGATAAAAACCTTCAAAGAAAAGTTAAATTACTTTCTTTATTTAGATATTTTTAATTTATTCTTTATGTAGCTATTTGTGAAGTCAAAATTTCACAAATATAAAATTATAATAAGTATAAAAAGTATACTCTTCATATTATTTCTAGAAAAAAGGTGGTGGTAAAGCTTTTTTATAATTATTTTGCAAAATAAAATGATTTGCTATTATTATTGTATATCATTATGCTCTTCAATAAATATTTTAGAATTGTTTGCCATATACTATATTTATCAATAAACATTTCTAATTAGAATGAGATCTACATATATAGTTTTATATTCAAAAATATTTTTCTCTTATGTGTTGAATATTTATTTATTTTATAATATAACATTTTGTGTATATTCACATTTTCCATGCTTTTCTTTTTTTTTTATTTGAATGCAGAATTTATATCGCTTTTTATTTATAAATTATTAATCATAGCTTACTGAAAAAATAAATTATCATTATAGAATATTGTTTACTTTTATCAATTACCTTTTTTTTATCCTAGTTATCCTATTATAACAAAGCTTTAACTTATTACACAAAGAGGTGCATGAATGATTATGATTATACAAAAACATAAACACTATACTAACAAATTGGCTACAAAATTTATTTTAAGTTCAATCCATAATATCATTTTTATTTACAAATTTCAAAGGTAAAAGAAAAAAAATAATTATTTTCATAATATATATTAATTTAAAGTATGAATATATAGATAGAAAGTGAAAAGGTACAGAAGATAAGGTGTTGTATTATTTTTTTTAATCATTGTTTGCATGAATTTTGATAGAATTAAAAATTACTAATGTGTTTATGATTTAGATAGATTTAAAGAAATGCATTTATTAAAATAAATATAATAAAAAAAATTCAATGAGAAAGCATTGATCTCTCTTTAAAAAAAAAAGTCTTATAAAATATTATATATAAAGGCAAATTACAAATACTATTATATAGAAAGAAAATTAAAATTGCATCAAGTATTATAGTGTTTAAACATAAATATAACCCACACACACTCACGATGTATTTTTATATATTATTTTCATCCAGAGGCTCAAGAAAATGCTGATGAATACAGTAATGAGGTGGAACAATTAAGAGGTACAGTTGCAAGAAATGAGGAAGAAAAGCTAAGGTTGGAAGCAGAACTTGCTCAAGTAAAAGAAATGCTACAACGTGAGGTATCAAGAGCCGATGCAGAGAGCCGTCGAAGTAATATTATTATTGCTGAATATAAACAGGTATTTAACAATTTTGTAAATTATGAGTGCACTCGTGTAATAAACCTTTTGTTTATAGATTTGTCAACGTTTGGAAGATGACTATAATGCTGCAAAAATGACTTTAAGTGAATTACGGGTAAATAATATATCAACTGTTATTGAGTTTGTTAAATGCAGGAATCACTATAATAGAAAAACACTTTTTACAGTCTAAGGTATCATCAAGATGTGACAAATGTAGAACATGCATAATGGATTCATCAAGTATATTAGCAGACATAGCACATCCTTTAGAAAATCGAGTTGATCCTATGTTACATAGAGTACAAGAAAGAGTAAGAGAATTAGAATTAGAATTGGCACAGACAAAATTAGCGCACGTGGAAGCAGAATGTAGAAATCAGGTAAATTTAAAATATATATACACAATACATATATAAGAGATATATAATTAAATAATATTATAAAATTTATTATACAAGGATATATAATCTGATATATGTTGAATATAATATAGGATTTGACACATCAATTACATGCAACTGCTTCTGAACTTCAAGCGACACGAAATAGTTGGCCATGGCTTAGTAAAACTTTGTCTAGTATAAAAGAAGCAGCAAACAAGCGAGAAGTTATAGGGCCTTCGTCATTAAGAGATTTAAGACGCGATAGTACTCCAGGAGATGAAGTACATCATCATATAATACATTCGCGTAGCCGTGATAGTCGTGACAGTCTTAAAGAAATAGTGTAATATGGTAAGTGATCTCATGATGTGTACAATTATATTTGAATATTACATTTGAAAATTATGATTCTCTCAATGAAAACATCACATAACATTATTTTTATTGAATAAGCCAAACATTAGTAGATGGTAACGCAGATATATAGATCTAGATATATGTAAATATACAAGATGTATCCTGACAGGTGGTACAACTAAGCGAGTAATGATACTAAATGTAGAAATAAATCGAAAAAAGAAAAACATTTTTTCGTTTGAAACCCCGCTTTAAAGAAAATCGTGTGTGAAAATTCTAGATTTGAGGACCTCTTACTACCATTAGATTTGTAATAATCATAGAAGAAACCGCACTTAATTAAACTCTCTATCTATTCTCTGTATTACTCTTCTGCCTGGACTGCTACGATTTGAAAATTGTTGTCTATAATACTCAACTGTTGTTATTGCGTCATTGTATAGTTCGTCTGATAGGAACAGACTAATGTAAGAGAAATAAGTCGTACAAGTGAAGAGAAAATATAAACATTACAGAGCACAATAAATACAAAAGTATAAACGAAAGAAAATGTTTATAGCTGATAAATAATTTGAAAGATAATTAATTGTACGCATACTTTAAAAAATATTCATACACAATTTTTTTGGAAACAGGGTCTCAATCGAAAAAAAGTTACTCCTTTATCCGATTTATTTTTACATGTAGAATTCACATCCAACCCGGATGTTTAACTTTTTGTTGGATGCACCATATATATGTTATGTTAGCTAAGTGAAACATTATGAAGTCTATGTATTCGTTACATTATGTAACGCATGCATAATATACCTATGACTAATTCAGCTGTATTATTTCCTATACTAATAATATATATTATTAATTTCCTTATTTTTAAGAGACTATTTTTTAATATGCATATTTATTTTTATAGATCTTTAATATGTTAAATGTTAACATTATTATTTACTATTTTCTTTAATTTTTTTTTTTTTTAATAAAATTACATAAAAGAGAGCATGATGCATATTTTAGAATAGTCCTAAATATGTGATTTTAAATGACAGAGTTAGTCTACTTGAAGTTAGTACTATTGTCCTTGTATCAATAGAAGTGACCAAGATGTAATGAGAAGAAACCTAAATAAGCAAATAAACTTCAGAGAGATTTCTATATGAGCATTAAAACAATTTCTTTATAAAAATATATTAAAAATGATGTTGCGCATGAAGATAAAAGAAATTGTTTACAATAATAAATTATAGAAACGAAAATATTGATCCCATGTTTTCTATGGCAATTATTTAAAATTTAAAAAATAGTGTTGCAAAACACTCACGATATATGCATGTGTATATTATATATCTAAACTAAAGAATACATACACACAATTATTTTTCTTGAGCTGTTAAAATTTAAAAAAAACAAGAACAGGATGAAAAAGTTACATTTACTCATTCTTTTTATGTACATTTTATATAATTAATACATAGAGCTTGGAAGTACTTTAATTGTAAGATGAAAAGTATTGAGAATAATATTCAGTCATACATCAAAAGTTAATATTATATATCGCGTTTAATGTGTTATGAATAATGAAAACGAGACAAAAGATAAAAAAGTGAAAAGAAGAAAACAAATAAATGTAGTAGAATGAGTAACCATTAATAATTGTAAGCGCATAGGTACACGTGTAGTAGGTACCTTTTAAAAATAATAAGGCGGCTTATAAAGTCTTTACTTATATCATTTATTTCATAAGAAATTTAAGTTCAATATTTTTTAAATAATTTAAAAAAAATTGTGTATACGCGCATCACATCGTCATATATGTATGACGACATATACATACTCTTTGATTGAATAGACGAACTTACACATTTATATAATTGATATTTAACATTTAAATACTAATGAAAAGAGATTAATCACTTAATTTACTTTTTTTACTGATTGATTCTGTACGTGTTAAATTCACATTCCAAAGCTTTATAAAAGCGATATTATATTTATTGAGTCAGTTATTTTCAAGTAAAAAGAGCCATATATATTTTAAAATATTAATTAAGTATTGTATATTTATATTTTTGTACAAATTATGACAATCGTTATTTTCTTTTATTTCCGCAAAATTTCTTAATATCTTATAAGCATTTTGCACTATAAGTTCATACAATTTCTAATATCGTTTCATATAAGGAGAATTAGATATAATACAGACTACTTTGTGTGCATTAATTTTTATAAATATATGTATACATGTAATCTGATCATAATATGAACTTTAATGGAGATAGATTTTTAATAAGATCAGCTTCACAGTCATTTCACTGTAAATCATTCTCTCAGTTTTGCAGATATTCATTTAACATAAATAAGTATAATACGGAAAAATCTAGATATATTATCTAGATTAGTGTGTTTCATCCAGATTTAGTTAATTTTGGAAAATTGTGAAATATTTAATTGATCGAAGAATCTCATCACAGAGCACTGATAATAATGACCCAATATTCACAATAGAATAATCAGTAAAATAATATATTTAGTCTTCTAACGTTATATCTATATAAAATAATTGAACATATTTAAAGTGATTTCATAGAATTTCAAACTTGAGTTCTCATCGAGGGTTATATATTATTAGAATACTAATTATTCTGTAAATTTATGTAACTGAACTTTACCAATAATTACACAGAAGATTATTTAATTTCTTAAAGTTTCATCAAATAGTTAAATAATGTTGATATGATGCTATAATTATTTTAATTCTTTTGCGTAGTTAATTTCAAAGTATAAAATATATATATGTATTTGATTTTCTTTTATTATTTGTATTCTAATTTTTTGTATTTATCTTTATCTTAGTTCGTTAAAACTTGCAGCTATCGATTTAGTTATATATATCTCGACTCTCATAAAATTGTGGATATATTTATTCTGTAAATATAAAATATATTACATTAAAAAAGAAGTGAAATATCATAAAATAGTAGGAATATAAAATTTCTTGAGGCTTTCATAACAAATTATGAAAATATATTATCACAGGTGAAAAAAATAATTATTATATAAGGGTTATTTTTTAGTTTATTAAATGCTTTCACAGTTTGGATGGAAAATCCTACTTCCCT